TGTCTTTAAGAATTGTCTTTTAAAAAAGGTCACTTTTTTAACATAAAGCATAGTATCTATGGAGACGGAGTATTATCGACTATGTATTATCTAAGGCAAATGTAAAACAATCACAAAACTTATGAGAGTACGACAGATACTATAATAGATAACACAACAGTCAGACACATACAACAATAGTTATGTTACATATTTTAAACATTTCACATATATTAGAGCAATTATTCAAGAAACAATAGTAGGTTACATCCTCGCCTAATAATCCAAACTTTCAAAGAAGGTCACAAAAGACCGTAAAGCCAAACACCATTAAACCAACTGTCTCTCACTCTCATTATTTATCTTCTCTACCCTTTACCATCTGAACCAGAGCTTCCTCTAACAAGAGAAGAAGTCGTTACTCATTAGTAGTCCAGGTTAAGTTTTAGTCCAGGTTATGTTTTAGTCCAGGTTACTGGATCCTAACTTTCTTCTTCAATATTGGAATAAGGACCTTAATGATAAACGGATGAAGAGTATTAGCACAGAAACTTTCCAAAAAGATTTCAACCTCTATCTATTTGTAAATATAATTCTTGATAAATAAGGGATTGAATTTTCATAAATATAATATTGGTGCACACCCACATACTTCCATTTGGGCTTATTTTGAAAAAATGGCTCACTGCACTTTGAATAATAAGTTTGATCCTGAAGACACCTGCAATGGAAAATTTGAGTTTCTATGCTTTCCTATTCGTGAGAAGAAATCGCTAGATTGGAATTCTAGCTCAATTAGCAAAGTATAAAGCTAAACAATCACAATAGTTGATAAATTGGTCCAAGTGCTATAAAATACTATAAGTCAAACCTTTGAGAGTTTGAGTAAGTAACGAAACCCAATTTTTTGAGCTTTTCGGAGAGTGGCATATAAGAGAGTAGCATAACAGGTTCAGTGACAATATATAGTAACATTTGCACTTGAACCATCAAATATTTCAGCTCCAATGCTGAGAGTATATGATAAATATTGGGGTAACTGACCTGAAAATAAAGGAGCAAAGGTAACTCAGAACAACTGAAATCCCTTAAAGAGAACATAACAATTGGGATTAATTAATGTGAAACACAAACATGGATTTTCTAAATAAAGGCTTCTGTTTTTCAATGCAAAAAAATTCAATCAGTCCCATTACAAGAGTCCTGTTTCAAAAGTCTTATTCTCTCAAAGGAATCAGGTTTGGAAAAATAAAGCAATTTCCCAAATCTAGTAGTGAACAAGTTTAATTTAAAATAGATATATCACATATGTAATTAAAATATCAGAATAACTTTTAAATAATATGCAAGTATGGCCAAACCAGACTCTTTGTAGGAAAAGAGAGACTACATATGTATTCGCTGAAGAAGTGGTTGCCTGTTTGGAGCAAAGAGGAGATGTGAATGGTTTCTTCACCATCATTAGCTGGGAAATTTGGGCACAGTAAACGTCTTATTCCCACCTATATCCTGAAAGTTATTTACACATATTTTTGGTATTAGCTGGTATTCTAACCAAACTGCCTAAACACACAGCTTCAGAATCAAACTAAAAAATTGTTATTTCAAAGTATCAAACTAAGAAACGAGGGAATTGTGTAGCAAAGAGCATAAAAATACAAATTATAAAAAATTCAGCAAGAGCCGTGAATTTTAGCAGCAATAATACAAATCAAGCAAAGAACAATACAAATTGCAGATTAAGTTAGAAATATTAGGTTAAAAGCTAAGAAGAAGAAGAAAACATACCATCAATCAATAGATAAACCATTAGGCTGATAAATTCAATAAGGGATAACGAAACTGCTAGTTCAATTCGCCTGGAAACAGAGGAGGAGCGAGCGGCTTGGCACTTTAGTCGTTAGGCTTTAGTGCTCGAGATCGAGGTCGGAAGTTTGGCCACTGCGATTGAATAGCTGAGGTGCGAGCTTGGCGAGCCTGGTGATAACTTGCGAGTTGCGACGTTGTGCCAGAGGTGGAGGAGCGAAAGGCTAGGGCAAAGTCGGCTTCGCTTTCTCTTCTGTTTTCGAGTCTAGCGTGGGGCGGTCGCCCTTCTCTTTCGTTTCCAAAGGCACGCCACTTTAATTAAAAATTTTGAAAACTATCGATAAGGGTTAGAATAGAACGGATATGAAAACATATTTCTGTTAATTACAATAATGACTCCGAACCAGATCTAATTTTAGGAAAATTGTAAATACGACCCCGTTTTTCCTTTTCGTATGGGTTGTTTTTAACAACCGTTATGGGCGAATTTTGGATTTCACAAATTTGACCCATCTGCCAATATCAAATTTATATTAATTGTGAATTTCACCCCGTTTTACTATACAATAACAGTTAAAGTTAAACCCACATTAAATCCTAGTTGTAGAATGCATATTTTACACTAGTGTAATCTAGGAAGTTCGTAAGCGGTTTGAATTTTGAGACTCAAGCCTACTTGCGTTTTGAGATACCAAACTCTACACGAGGCCTACGCCAAAGTTGAACACAACGTTCGAGTACGACGACCCTAGAAGGAAACACCCAAGAAGCTAAGGCAAAAAGGACGCCGAAGAAGAGACCAACCGAGGAGCCAAACGGCACAAGCTAAAGATGAACCACTCCGCTAAAGACGCCATTTCTATTGCATAATCTTCTTTGAGTAAGTTAAGTGCTTCGGGGACGAAGCACCCTTTTAAGGGGGGTTGAATGTGACACTCCAAAAAAAAATAACATAGTTATTTAAATAACTTAAAATTTTAACATATGATAAAAGTGACATTTTAACAAATTTTAATTCAAAGGTATGGGTTAATATATGTGCACAATATACATTCTATACCACTAATAATCCTAACGAATATGTAAAAGTTGACTTTCCAACTTGAGATTAGCGATACACGTAGACTTACATATAGGGAATGATCACCATGGTATTATGGATCGTACGACTACTGGAATCTTCTGGAATAAGCGTTAGCTTAAACGCATGAAACCCTAATCCTTCATACGGGAATAAATATGTACCATTGCCTCAATTCAAAAGCTAACGCAACCACACTATAGGAAACAGAGCAAGCAATTGCGGAACAGAGAGAAGAAAACAAAGTGAAAGAGAAGGAAGAAAGAACGCTGAGGAGATGCCGGAATGGATCGATCGCACTGCCCTGCACCAAAACAAAGGAACTGGCCCCGGCCCGGAGATGAACAACACGAGTAGCTAGCCAGCAGTGCCCGTTGCCAGAAAAATAGAGATATCGTCTTCGCCGGAGTGATACGAAACTCGCCGGTGGTGCTGATACGAAACCAAGCTGCTGCTATCAAACAATACCGTCGCCTGACACCAACCGATGCTTGGGAGTTCACCACTTCTTTAGTTCTTTCCATCGGAAGAGAATATCGCCTAGAGGGGGTTTAGCAGACCGCCGGAGAAGAGGGTGTCACCAAAGAGAAGAGCCGCCAGTGCTGGACTGCTTCGCCGCCGGAGGTCAGTCGTTGCTGCCGGGCCAACCTGCTGTTGCACGAACCGAAGACACCCAACTGTTGCGACCGGACTTCGCCAGCTTCATCGCGCAGAAGAAGAGTACGTAGTGCTGTCCACTGCTACGCTGATGTTTTGATTGTTTGGACTGGTATTTGTATATTTTGACTACATCAAATTAAATGGATAAAATCACAAGATTGAATAAAACTAAAGAACTGGATTATTGGACCAAAAAGAAATTATATTAATAAAGTGGAATAATTATTAATTCTGGAATTTTAATTTTAATATTCTTAGAAGGTGAATTTGGAGAAGATCGAGATAGAAGCTTTGGTTAGGAGTTATCGTGATTTGAGGTAAGTTTCATTATTGCAACCAAAATTATACCTTTTACCTCGTAATTATTTTGAATGTTTTAATAATTTATTTATGTGTATTAAATTTGAGTAAATGTTATTCAGTATGAAGTTGTTTGTACTTGATATATTGGTTTGTTATTATTGGATTTTGTTACAAGTTATTGTATATGATTTTTGGGAGATTTCTACTAGTGAATATTAATTGGATTTTAAGAAATTACATGGGAATTTTAGCGTATTTTTGAAAGATACAAACTATTGATTGGATTTTGAGAAAACAAAGAAAAGTTAATACTTTGACACTCATGTCTATAAGACATAAATATTGAATTTTTGGAAAGACAAGATAAAAGACCGTTTTCATAATTGGGGCACCGCGGGAGAAATTCGTAGGTGTCGGGCCACCTCCACGTCCGTTAATGGTGAGGGAGGGTTAGGACTACTACCACTTGAATTGAGAGGCTTGAGACAAATTAAATAATTTTTTGGAGGGTTCGGTAACCACCCCGAACAACGGGGCATTAGATCCCCTTTTTAGTGGAGTAGTGGTGGTAGTACCTATTCTCTTAAGGGTCTTTGAACCTAGAACTTAGGGAGTATATCCCATTTGGAGTAGGGAGACGTTGACGTCAGAACTACTTAGACTTCATACTACTCGGAGGGCTTGGAATCCCTTTAGGGGGTGTGCACACTTAAGGTAGAAGTCTAGATTCTAATAGAGGAGATGAGGTACCGAGAGCAGATCGGAGTGACCGTACAAAACAACGGATCACTGGGCTCAAGAATCGAAATAACGCTTGAGCACCGCCCTTCTAAATGAACTAGGAGAATTAGCTATAAAGCTATTTTGAGGTAAATCAAATGTTTTTGTATTTTACTCTTAAAGAGTTTGTTGGTCCCAGTTTAGTAGACTAACGATCAGCTAGATGAACATCATCGATAGACAGAAGAGAAGGATTTCATATAATGATATAAGATTTATCGAGAACAGTGAAACCTTCTTTCTGTAGTATCGAGAAGTAAATTTGGCAGCGTAAGGCTAATGTGTATTGATCGATATCGGTACCTGTACACAAGGCGCGTATTTATAGGCGCTGTACAGGTTACCGATTTAGGTAAACCTTGGAAGTTGGGCCAAGGCCTTTTTGGGCCTTATTCCCTTTACCTTATTTGCTACATAATAAATACTAATCTAATACCATAAATGGTATAACTAGTCTACTTTATTTAAACAAGACATTACAGACAAACTTGACCCACAATAAAAGTTCTAACAATCTCCCCCTTTGTGGTCAAGTGCCGTCTTGCTGGGTTTCTTCACTTCTGAGCTTTGTAATAGTTCTTTCTGAGATTAAGTGCGTGCTCATAGTTTCTGAGTGAGTTTCTTTTATCAAGTTGTTTCTGGATAGCCTGTAGAATTTTGTCTATTATGTGTGCTTCCTTTAATTCGGCATCTGTCGCATCTGCATACTGTTGTTGTCTTTCTTTGAATGCTTCTCTGATCGGTTGCAGCTTTTCTTTCACAATCTTCAGGGTTCCGTCACAGTACTTGTTGATTTCATCAATGAATAGCATACGTTTCTCACCATTATGATTTAGATAGATAAGCGTGATTGGTCTATCAAAAATGTAATACTCAGGGAAGTCCTCAAGTTCTTGTCCATACAGCTTTGGCTTTGTGAGATTTGTCTTTGGCATGTTTGTTTCAAGCGCCATCTGAAGATCATGAGAGGCAAAGAATTTGATTTGTCTGAGCATAAAGCGCTTGAGTGCATCCAGCCCATTCTGTGTAGTTGTGTCACGAGTGCCCGGAATTTCTTGAAATGCAAGATACATCTGATATATGTCATCCATTTTTAGCATATAGAGATCATTTTCCTTGCACGTGAATTCTGTTCCGTCAGACCGTTGTAGATGGTAGACAGAGAGTTTGATGTCTTGGGAGTTTGTTTCACCCACGTTGAGAATAGCCCAGACTGGGTCTTTGGCAGTTTGAAGTTCGTGTTGCCAGACTTCTCTCTGTTGTCCCATATAGTGATGACTGAGTAGAAATAGTTGTCCGCCCTTGTTTTGTCCTCGTAGATGGTTAAGACCACAGATCTTCAGTGTAACACCCCCATTTTCCCTCCCAAAATAATACTTGAAATAATAGATTTATTGATAATAAAATTGATTTATTAAAACAGATAAAAAGTTTTGCAGCGGAAATAACATTAATTGGGAAATGGGTGTTACCGCCACATCCGGTCATCTCTTAACCGGATGCACAGGCAAACCAAAATAAAACAATAAAAACTAATGTACTTGTAAATAAATGTTTATTCTTGACTATATTTTTCTAAGGCAACTCTAAACCGCTCTCGTGGTCATACAATCATCAGTCCACATAAGCATCATCACCTGCACAAATAAAGTGCAGAAAACAAAACAAAGAAAAGGAAACAAAAATTAGCTTTAGAGCTAAGTAAGTACTACCCAACCCCGTAAAATAATCAGGTTTGGCTAAAAATAGTTTTTCATATAATACTATATAAAAATGACACACTCCACCAAAATTCTTTTCTCTTTGATTTTTCTCAAAATCACTTCTTTACTAAAGTCCTCAACTTTTCTTCGAAAATACTATAGTAACTCTTCTCTTAGAACTTCTCAAAATTCACTTCTTCTCTATCTTCCTAGTAATTTAGAAGGGCGGTGCTCAACATTCTGGTTGAGCCCGGTGGTTACGTTGTTATGTACGGCCACCCCGGGACTTTTGCCGGTACCACAACTGCTAATGGAAACGAAACGACTACCTTAAGTGTGCACACCCCCTAAAAGGGATTCCAAGCCCTCCGAGTAGTAAGTCGTCACGAGTAATCGGGACTCAGTCTACCAACTACCCCACCTTTAAAATTCTTGAATGATTAGGGACTACTACTATAACTTCTTCTTAAAAGGGATCATAGATCCAAACGTCACTTCAAACTCAAACTGTACTTCTTAGTAGTAGTAGCCTTAATCACCCTCCACATTTATCCGGATGTGGAAAACCGACACCACGGATTTCTCCCGGGTGCTCACCTCTTATGAAATCCTTAATTTTATCTTGAATTAAGTATACTTCAAAAATATTTCTCAATCTCTCTAAATAGTCTCAAAAGTATCTAAAAATATTTAACACCCAAAAGAACTTCGTTTGCACTTCAAAAATACCATAAATCTAATATCTCCTCAAAATCACATACACATAATTCAAAATTCACTATTTATCACAAAATGCATAATAAGCATATAATACGAGGAAATCATTTTGGATCGGCAGAGAAACTTACCTTGCTTTATTCCTGATGCTCCTAGTTCTTCTTCTCTATCCTTGTCTCTAATAATCACCTTTTTAATTAAGATGGCATAATTAGTCACTAACTCCTTTTGTAATAAGTTCCCCGATTTTTTTTTCCTCTTTTTATTTTACTGTTCGAGTTTATTAATTAGGTACTTTTATTAATCTTACCACTTTATTTCTTAATCCTCCTTGTTACTAATTTTAATTCCGTCTTACCTGTATTAATTTTCATATTAAAACTACATTAAACTATTCGAATTATAACATAAATGTTACTACCTCCGTATTATGTTTGATGGTCTTAATATAAAAGGGACAATTTATTAAAAGTGAAGCTAGATCACTTTTATTGGTCCAATACGTACTCATCTTAACATCCCTTACTCCATTTCATTTTATAATTGTTATTATGATTATTGATATTACTACTACGATTAGCATTATTATTGTTATATAGCCTTTATTATGGTCCCATACTAATTTAGCAAAGTCTAGTCCAAACTTAATTAAAAACATTTCGTAAACAGCAGAGTATATACGTATACATACGAGTCGTCTTCTTCGTCGAGCATTCGTGGCAGAAAACAGTGGGGGCGGTGCACTCCCTCTGGGACGGCGAAGCTCGGCGGTGCACTCCCTCTGGGACGGCGAAGGTCAGTGATGGACTGGCAGCGGCGGCGGCACCTTCTTCTTTGCCGTTTTCCGTCGTTGCGGTAAGTCCGGCGAACTCCGGCAAGTGATATCTCTCTCGTTTCACGACTGTTTTCTATGATTGTTTCACCGTTGGATTCCTCTCACGAAGGGGAGGTTTCAGAAGTGTTTTCAAGGCTCGGTTCTGGCTAAAACGAAGGGTCAAAAATTTGCATATATATATATGTAGTATATATATATATATACACGTATATGTATATATATATGTCGCGGGTCGAGGTTTGACAAGTGCTTCTGGGCTCTGGCTCGAAGTAGTATAAATACTGTCTCAGAACATCTTCCACATTTATCCTCTTGATCCGTTTTTTTTTTCCGGTAAGCTTTGAGTCCGGCGTGTAGTATACTTCGTACGTAGTACATTGTATGTGTGTTATCATTAGCTGGCCTTGCATGTGTCCCAGTACGTTTATTTTGATGTGTATTGCTAGGTGTATCATTGAGGAGGAGTAGTAAGTTGTATAGAATCCCATGTGCCTACTATAATTAGAATCCCACGGTAGTACTTTTCTTATCTTTGGCCCTATCTCACAAGTTTTGACATATACATGCATGATGCATGTGTGTTGGTCGTTGGTTACATATCTAAATTATTGTGTATATATATTATTAGTACGCATGGGTATATTATTGTTGTGGCAAGTACTTTATTTGGTGTGGTATATATATTATTGGTCCGAAGAGTTATTTTGGTGTGGTATTTAGTGTACTTTTGTACATATATTACTAACCAATATCCTTGATTCAAAGTTGTTAAAATGTCACTTTTATTATTTATATCATATTTATAATTATCACTTGTTACAAAAATGTCAATTTTTGTTATTTAAGTCAAGATCATATCTGATCAACATAATTATTATAAAAATGTCACTTTTATTTTTGAAACATTTTTTTATCTAATTAAAAATGTCACTGATGTTAAAACTTTACCTGATTCACTTAATTATTAAAATGTCACTTTTGTAACATTTTACCTAGCTAATAAAATTATTTATTTTATTTAAATTTTCGGGGTGTCACATTCAGTTCATCCAATTTTCTGACCTTGTCCTCTTTTCGCCAGATGTTTTCTCTGATTTCTTCTTGAAAGGGGGCGTTGATGTCGATCCTTTCCCAGGGCTTCTCATTTCTGGGCATTTGAGCCGCTGTTTGTCTAATGATCGACTCAAGCTCCTTGGGTGGTGTCTCGTAGTTTTCTCCCTCCCTGAGTTCGTTTCGATCAAGTAGAATCACGTCAGTAGCGCAGTTGACTAAGAGATCTCTGAGGTATGTTCTTCGCTGTGCTTCATCTACATCTGTCCAGAGTTCAGACCATTTGTTATGCACCAGCATTTCCTCAAGTTCATCGTGCATTTGATCATTGTAGTAGCTGGAGGAAGCCTGTTGCTGCTGTGGAGACACGTCTGGCGTAGCATCGGGATCCTGGTGGGACTTACAGGGATCCTCAATTATCTCAATACGATGCTCTTGCGCAGAGACCAGTCCTCTATACTTTGTTACATGCGGCCAATCCTCCCTTGGTTGAGACTGGGTGACTCCGGGATCCTCAGGATTGCCCGTTGACATCAGTTTCGAACTAGGTTCTAGCTGATGGCCTGAGTAAGAAGATGTACTCGTGGTAGCATCATCAGGACTTCCATTCCGTCCTTGGTTAACATCTATAGGAGATGCACCTCGGGATGTTATGTCTAGCTCGACCATGCTAGAGAGAGTGGCTAGGGATTTATGGCTAGCTGAAGTAGTGGGTTGCTCATTGGTAGAGGTAGATGGTTGGTTTGGCTTTGACGGTTGGCTAGTAGAAGCAACATGCTCAAGTATCCGCTGGCGCTTGTTCTCCCCCTCATGAGAATCCGAATCATCAGGATCCTCATGTGAACGTTTAGCGCCACGGAGACTGTCACGGCAAGTGTTCTGTGTATCTAGAGCATGGAGAAGGGCTTTTTGAAGAGGGGTGAGGTTGCCTTCTTCCACGTCTAGTATACGGTCGTAGATCTCAGCTACAAGATTCTCGAAGGGTATGGTTGTTAGGTTGGGTTTGGTCGTTGTAGGGGAGAATACTAGTTCTGTATCCTGGGTTCCCCTTGATGTGGATGGTTGTTGGTTTTCTATAGTTAAGGGTTTGGAAACAGGTATGGAAATGGTTGGGGGCTGGGTTGTTTGAGGTTTGGGTGGTATATCCTGAACAACTGGGGTACTTCCAGAGTCTTGTGCATTAGCGGTTATTGCTTCATGCACCCATGGCTTAATGGTAGACTCTAGAAAGCTGTTCAGATATACGAGAATGTCTTCGGGGATAATGGCACCAGTTACGGGGGTTGTAACTGTTGTCACAGCATCAGTGAAGATAGCTGATGTGTGGCCTGCGTTCAATGATTGAGGCATTGTTGGCGTAGCAGGGCTTCCGACCATCATAGTTTGCACTCCGGTCGTTGCATTCAGGGTGAGTGCACCTGTATGTGCAGTGAATAGTGTAGGTGTCCTAGAAAAATGTGAAAAAGTAGGAATGGTGACACCTAGACTCGATGTGATAGAACGGATGGGGGTAGTGGTCCGGGGCTGTTGACCACTAAATCTCTCAGCAGATTCGGAAGGAATCAGTGAGGTCGGTGTAAGTTCCCCTTGAGTTATTGAAACCCCAGTCTGTTGGGAGACTGGAGAGTGGATGGGAGATGGCTGTGCCCGCGCAGTTGAACCAGATGCTGCGACTTCTACCCGGGAACTGACAAGGTCAGCTCCTGCTCCTAGGGGCGTGGTTCGGTCTATGGTGACAAAGGTGTCGCAGTCATCGTATAGTGCCAGCTCCTCCTCCACTGCACTCTTCTTTCTTAGCCTCTTCTTAGGCTGTGATGATGCAGATTTGTCGTTGTTGTGTTTGGAGCGCTGCTCACTGATGACAATGCCCTTAAGTGGTCATGACATGTGAACAGCCTCTTCATTGTCCGATGAGGAGTTGGAGTCTATCGGAATGGCCCTCTTTCCGGCTCTTTTCCTGTTGCTGATCAGGACTCCCTCCATGTCATCATCATCATCTGCATCATCATCATCATCTCTTCGTTCATTCCCTTTGGCCATGCTATCGGAGGCCTCACCACCAGCCTTATTAGAAGGGGCCTGGCTTGATGGTTCATCGGCAGTGTCCTCAGCATTAGGGTGGCCCTCAGCAGTCTGGGTCCTCTCGGAAGAGTTAGCAGACTGATCATCATTAGGCCGGGTTGCCACTGGTTTCTGTGGCGGGGCTCTCTTCTTCTTACCCTCACTCGCTCTCGGCTTGGTTCCCGGGGAAGGTCCAGCTGGGTTTTGCTGAACCATAGGGACCGTTCTCTTCAGCGACTCTTTGTAGTCGATGACTGCTTTATCCCTCGGATTTGCAAGGTCAAGTAGAGAGTCCGGGATAGGCAGTGCTTCAGCTTTGTTGCTGTCCTTCTGGAAGTATTTGAGCTTTGGGGCGGTGAAGTGCTTGTCCTCCTTACGCTTTGGCATTGAAGGGGTGGCTTCCAACATGTTGTGAATCATCAGCGCCAGCCACCGAGTGTAAGGGATCGTGTTGCCCTTGTTGTTCTCCTTCATCTTGACCTGGTCCATCAGCTCTGTCCAGAAGAGCTGTGCCATGTCGTACTGTTTGTCAAATGCGATCCCATGGAAGATTTGTAGGATCTGCTTGTTGCATTTGTCATGTCCGGCGTGCTTAGGAGACAAGCATTTGTTGACCAGGCCGAACAGACTCTTCCATGGGTGGGGCAGGTTGGAGATAGTGAAATTTGACAGCAAGGGCAGCGGGCTGTCATAGCCTAGATCCTTCATCCCCTTTATCAGCTCTTCGTTTGAGGGGAGTGATGCGTAGTGTTTGAGCACTGGGAGCTTCAGTGTCTCCCTGATTGTTGATGGTGTCAGCACCACTCGCACGTCATTCAGTTTGGTCATTATTTTCGACCTGTCCTTCTCTGAGGCTGTGTGCATCAGGCCCCAGAACTGTTGTAGATACACCTCTGGCACTGGTTTGGCTTCATTAAATGCAGACCAGAGGTAATGCTTCTGTAGGATTGATAATATCACTGGATCCTGGCATTTGAACAGCTTTAGGTCCAGTTGGAAGTTGTTGTCGTACAGTGGGACCCATTTCTCCTTTGGGTACACTGCGTTGCTTGGTTGTGCAGTTCTATCTGTTCCTGACATTGTTAACTGAAAGAATTGGGTCAGCACATTGTTCATTTGAAAATTTTATTTTTGTTTTATTTTGCAATTGTTCAGATCAGGTGTGTTCTGGTGGGGCCTCGAGAAAAATTCTGAATGTAAATCACGAGAACCAACTTCTCGAGATTTGAATATCGAGAAGTAGGTTCTCGAGGTTTAAATACCGAGAAGCTCTTCTCGATACTCAAACATCGAGATCTTGGTTCTCGATGTGAGAATATCGAAAAGTCCTTCTCGAGATCTAAACTTCGAGAACTTCCTTTCTCGATGTTTAAATATCGAGAACTGCTTCACGGTATTTCAAACTTCGAGAAGTAGGTTCTCGGTATTTAAACATCGAAAAGACCTTTTCGAGGTTCAAATATCGAGAACTGACTCTCGAGGTTTGAAATATCGAGAAACAATTCCTCGAATTCAAATATCGAGAAAGATGTATTCTCGAGTTCGTACTCAGAATAAATGTCGAGAACCACCTGCAATTACACATTCATAAAAATATCAATAATAGATTTCGATGTTTATTAAGACTCAGTTCTCGATATATCACTTCGAGAAATTCCTTTTGAGTTCGAGAACCGGTGCATTTTGTGCGAGAACCATTTTATTCAAGATTTTCATCGGAATCACTACCTTTAGTGCGAAATGTGTGAAGTTTTGAGAAAGTTTTTGAGGAAGACGGTTGAGAGCTCTGGACTTCGAGAACTTTTTAGAAGAAAAAAAATATGCGAGAAGAAAGGGTTGTCTAGTTCTCGAAGTCTTCTTATATGCGAGAAAATCCTGGGCCTTGCGAGAAAGTAATCTGGACCCAAAAGTTTGAGTTGGGCCCGGTTCCGTGTTTAAAATTATTTTGAGCCCCAAACGTTTATTTATGTACAGAAAAAAACTCCCCCTCAAATTGTGCATGAGAGAGAAAAAAATGTACACACATACTCACTCTTTTTCTGATTTTCTTATTTTCTCACACACACACACACTCTTTTTTTTTATTTTCTTATTTTCTCACACACACACACACTCTTTTTCTGATTTTCTAATTTTCTCACACACACACACTCTTTTTCTGATTTTCTAATTTTCTCCCCCTCAAAGTATTCCTCTCTCTTTTATTTTCTCCCTTTTCTCCCCCTCAACACATGCAACGCACACCACGCACACTCACACATTTTATTCAGACCATGG